GATAATAGAAAGGGGATGAATAAACACAGACGCAATCAACTTTCTATGACGAACAACAACAACCAGTTCAATAACAGTTACATATAGGAATTAGTAATGCATTTGATACGTCTATCTCTGTTTGTCTGTCTGCATGCAGAGCTGATATATTCGCTCAGGGAAGCTTCGGTGTTCTTGTCTCAACAGGTGACTCTCACTACCCTAACTGTAGGTCGTCCTAAGCCAGAAACTGAACCCATACTGAGGATTGAATCGAATTCTAAAGCAGATTCCAGGAGCACGTTCAAACTTGTTTCCGAACGGATCCCATCTGAATTCATCTCCTGATAGTGAGAAATTAAATGAAGTATATCTATGATTTGGCGTTTCCACTTAGCACTCGCCTAACCTGATTACGCGATTCATTTTTAAGATGAGGCAAATTATCCGTGCATAGACGCTTCGTGGTAGGTATGCACGAGTGAGGCTAACGTGCACTCGATCGATAATGCCACGCAACAATGATTTGCTTTGACTAGGTTTTGCAACTGTTTCGAGGGCATTTATAGATGTTGAATTCGAAATTCGTATTCATCTAGATCTAGTATCGACATCTGTCGTCATTCCAATATCCTCATTGAGAATGAGGCTATCCTCATTCTTACCAGCAAACTGCACAATCACTATTGAACATAAAAGGTGATGAATTTTTACTGATTGTAACTAGCGATCTGCAAAATACATATTCTCATTGCGTCAGTGGTTTACAACTCAAATTTATAACGAGAATGTTATTATAGCTGTTTTGTCCAGGTCGTTTCAGGCTGCTCTTGAGAACGCCACGAGCAAAATTTTTCGTGTTAAGTTATTTGCGCGACGCGCATTTTGAGCCATGCTACCTGTAGAACCCGTAGAAGTTCAACCCAGCGTTAAAAATACTTATAGTTAGAAAAATTAGTGCATATGGAAAATACAAGAACACAAGGTTTTCGTGCGGGAAGCAAAAACTGAATATTAGTTTTATTGCTGTCGAATGAAGCTTATTCAAGAAGAGCAGAACACGAACAATATTTTATCACATGTGCGGTGATGGAAACGATCCAATATTGATAAAATGATATCATTAGCGTTTGAAGAAGGTAGTGAAAGAAACTGTCAGAAACGGAGAGAAAACGAGTCTCAATTCATTCGAGTGACATTCATAGCCATATTCGACATAACCAAAACAACTGAAAATGACACCGCTACGATAGACAATGGAAGTGTTAGACGATGACAAATGCATTGAATGATCACGGGTGCAAGGCGTGAGGGTTACTTCAGTTGTTCTCGAACTGTGCATTCCTTCGAGGAAAACTGAAAGTGAAAAGTAGTTTATTACATTTGCAATGATTATTACACGTACATAATTTCCGGAAAAATATGGTGCTAAGGGAAAATCAACATGTACGGTGATAAATGAATAAAAAATATTTTATATAACCAATTTTTCCGATTGTAACACAATTTGATTGCTAGTTAATCTAACTATAAGACATTTTTCTCTCAACTTCTCCTTCTTAGGATTCACTCATTAAGCAAAACAAAAATCAAAATCGAAAGATCAGCAGAATATTATTAATGAAGTAAAAACTTATTTCAGACACACTGAAATAAGTTGTGATAGGAATAGATCAGACATCAAAAAATACTCAAAAATGATGCCTTTAAATGATCATGAATAAAATGAAGGAACGGCAATTCAAAGAATGAACAGCACCTTTTAAAGATGCATTCGTTAAAGTTCACCCTCGCCAATTTAATATGTATGAACTGAAATGTTACCTCGCAACTCCTGGAATAATACCTTGCACCTGAAGGTGTGGGAGCGCTCCTGCTTGAGAAACCCTGTATTAAAGATAGGGGAATATTAGGCAAAAATGATCTCAGAATGGCAGTCGAGAATTCCGAAAAGAAATAGAGGAAGAGCGAAGATGAAATGGAGGGGCCCGATCCGCAAGCTGACCAGTCAAAAATGTATACAGAAAGTGATACTTATGGTGATGTTAAAGAGGCTTTTATTCGTAACGAATGTTGACGGTTGAATAAATAAATAAATAAATATTGAGAATTAGAAATATCGTGGTCTTTTCGTGGTCCTTGACTGTGAAATTTCGTCCCCGACTTTTTTTCTTCCCTGCAACACCAGTTGATATCATTTATTTTATCTTTTTTTTGTTAATCTGTGGTCATTGCACTCATCAGTTTTAATTGTAATAGAACATGTTTTTCTTCATTGCACCGATCTGTTCACGTACACAAACAATCATTGGAAATATTTCTTAAAAATTGTTCGTAATGAAAAATGTGCGATTATACATTTGTAACTTTAATTGTGATATTTTCATTTGAATACTCATCATCTGATCATAACGGGCATACGCCGTGACTGCAAATGATTGGTGTTTGTGAAGCTGTGTTGCGGGGAGAAGAAAAGTCGAGAATTTTGTAGTCAGGGGCCCTGAAAATGTGGTTGCTCTGAAAAAAGTTAACGACGGAGAATCCGAGGAAAAACTCAATCTCATCTTCAATCCATGAACTTTCCCCAAAAACGTATTTTTGAACTTGAATAAGTAAGAGCTTGAGGACAAGAATATAGCATCGAAATGAGAAAATAGAGAATACCGCAAAGCCACTTCAACAACAATTTTTCATTGAACCAAATGGAAAAATGAACAATGTTTAGCCGTTGACGAGAAAAAATAAAGAGCATTCCGAAGTAAATAAGTAAAAATAACATGAATTTCTTCTTCTTCACGTCGTAGAAATCGTGCATCTTTATCATTGAAAGCTTGAGTTAGGTTACAAATTACAGAAATAACTTGTTGCAGTGATAAAAAGTGCCATTTTCTCCGCATAATAACGGAACAACGAAAAACAGTTCGTTCCTATCACAACAGAGGTTTTTAATTTTCGAACTGCCATCACGCATTACTTTTATTTTCTTCTTCGACATCCGCCTCCTTAACATAGGCCATGCATAGATGGTCGAGAAAGTCGTTTGATGATGACTCCTTCATACTGAGATCCTTTCCACATATCGAACCAATGCACTTCGTACCGTTTTCGTTTCCTTTCCCAAAAGAAAACATTTCCACACTGTATTTTCGCTGACCAAACCTTCTCCTTTTTTGCCCTGTACGACCACTGCAGAGTGCACGTCCTGCCAGCCGCATCATGCAGTAACACCAAACTACAACACGAGCACAGCATTCCGAGGAGTTGAACTTAAAAATTCACAAAGCGATATCCTGATAGCTGTCGTAAGACAGCTGCTCCCAATAGCTTGCGTCCACGATATCCATCTTAGTAAACGCAAGTTCTTTCGATCAGCATCGTTATTACAATCATCATTACCAACATTATTGCGATATTGTATTCCTATGATTAACATTGTCATTCTCAGGCTTAGGCACAAGGTTAGGACGAGACTGAGGTTGATGCGTGGGCTTTAGGGGGAGGTTCATTTTGAGATCGCAACCGAACTCCGTAGCACTAAATCTAACCGTTCGCTATCGCAATAAATTTGAGGCGAATTGTCGGGGATAGTTGTCCGGGAAGTTGCAGTTGTCCTAGAATCAAATAAAGAATGCAAACGTTATTAGTGAAATCGTTCGAAATTCATGTTCTGGTCCAGTTTTATCAATTTTCAGGATAACTTCGGAGCGGGATCTCCGAGAATTCTGGAAATGTCGATGACGAAATCCGCAGTCAGGAACTTCAAAAATGCACTCGCCTTAAAAGCGGATTGCAGGGGCAGTTATCCCGATATTGATCGGGGCAATATCGAAGACGATGGCGGGGAAACGAAATCGGGGTCTCCGAAATCCCCCGTTCCCCGCAACACACTGCATTATACGATTGCGGGTCATTGTTTTCTGACAAAATTTGTTCGGAAGTGAGAGTGTTGAAGAAGGGATCGATAGTTTGTTAGCAGTTTGAAAG